CCGACCCCTGCCACACCCCGGCCCCGACCTCAGGCACAGGCCGAGCCTGACCGGGACCCGCGCTGCACCCAGAGCTCCTCAAAGACGGAGCCCTGACAGGACCCTGAAAAAGCGTCCCCTGGGCTGACACCCGCAGCAGAGTCGGGTCGTGACCTCGGACAGTTCTGAAAGCCCTGATTTCTCCGTCCCAGGGCAGGAACTCACTCACAGACACGCCCTCCCCAAACCTCGCTTCACTCGCAGGGATACCTCGCCGTCTGGTCTTCCCCTCGGCGGACTTGCCACGGACCGGTCGCGCTCCCCCACGGCAGATCGTTCAGCTGAGGACGCGGAAGAGGCGGTACTAAACCCGAGGGGGCGGAGCCGACCGCTGAGAAACGCGAAGGGGCGGGCCTGCGCCTGCGCGCTGACGGCTGCGCCCAGGGAGAGGGTGGGGCGAGCTCGGCAAACTGCGCAGGCGCAACTGAGAGGGGCGGGGAGGTTGCGGGGGAAGTGGGTGGGGCTTAGCTCCTTTGATGCTCAAACTTTTCTGAAGTTTGAGAAGCCTGGGAAGCGCCAGGAGGGAGGAGGCCCGGAAGCAGCAGGTGTCATTACAATTTACCGAGAGCTTCTGCATGCCAAGAAGGAATTTTAAAAATGTCTTTCACACATGGGGGATATGCTGCCTGTCTTTTCTAACATGAGAGCTAATTCTGTAAAGTTTCTTAAGAGGTTTGGGTGCCTATAATTTCACGATGAGAGTTTCTCCTTTAATAAAGCATTCCCCCAGTAGTTCAAAATAAAAAGCCTTAAAAGTTCATTTCTTGGAGAAAACTAACTGCAAACGTATTTATATTTAAATCCTCCCCTCCCCACTCTCCCAAGATGCAAGTGTGATGAGAGTGCTGACTTGGGTTTGATTCAGGTCCTGACTCTGTGTTTCCTCTGTTGTGAAATAGAAATAAATATCCCTTCTCTTCCTGTCTCAGGATTGTTATGAGCCTCTTGGACTTCCTTCCCATCATCCATCTGGAAAACATTAATTCCCTTCCCCCTTCTTAGCCCATACTTCTCATGTGCATGATGGAAGAAGGTCTGGAACATTAGAGAACATTCAGGGCTTTGCTAGATTTCCCAGTGTAGGTGAAGGCTGGAGAGGGTTCTTCTCCCAAGCATCTGGATTCAGTCACTTTCAGAATCTCTCAGTCCAACCTGGAAGCCCCTGTATATCCTAATCTCCCTCATCATCACCTTCTGGGCCCATCAAGCTTCATGTGCTCAGAGGCCATGCTGGCCTGTTCCTCTCTGTTCCTTGAATGTCTCAATAACAAGCTGCTCCTGAGCCACTCAGGCCTATGTTCCAATCCAGGTGCCCAGAATCCCTATGTCCCCCATATGGCAACCAAGTTCAGTTAACAGAGAGGAGGGCTCTGGGAAACTCAGAGGAGTAAGGGCTCCCTCAAATCAGGTGGTGCTCCAGCCATGTTTGTGGCTCCTTTAACACACACTCCATAGATCTCCCAGGGAAGGGGAAGTGGCAGCAGGAAACCTCAAAGAAAAGGCTACAGTATTCATCAGGGCTGAGGGTGGTGGGGCAGCCTTTAGAATGTTCTGCTCCAAGATGGGGGAGAATGGCTCACTTTCTTATTCCCTGCTCCAAACAGTTTTGTGAATCCAGAAAAACAAAGGCTTCAACAGCCTGGCTGCCCAAACTGTCCCTCTGCCCCTAATACATTGCCTCTCCCAGGACTCTCTCATGCAAAGTTTTGCCCTTCCAATCGGGGAGAGGGGTTTTCTCTCTTCTGTCTCCTCCTTCCTCTCTATCTCTGTCTAGTCTTCTTTAAGCACCCCTCTCTGAATTTCTCAAAACAGTTTTGTGATGGCTTTTAAGGGGCAGGCCTTGGCCACACAGTTCTGAGATTAATTTATCCTCACTGCCATGGTGTATTTCAAAAACAACTGTGATATCAAAACCTGAACTTTCCAGAAGTCCGAACTCTCCAGCAATTGAGGAGGTAGTGAGTGACTTGTCACAGGAGGTGTGCAAGCAGAGCCACCTTTTAGAATGCTGGACTTGGGCTTCCTTTGGTGAGCCAGAAGAAGGGGCAGCAGAGAGGAGGGCCTTACAGATCCTAGAGCAGTGAAAGGGGGGATATTGGCACCAAGAAGGAAGTGAGGCAGCTACCCAAAGACAAACTTGGTTCAACAAGCTATTGTATATCAAACACTTAGAACTGTACCTGACACATAATATTAGAAGGATCTTAGTCAATTATTCCCTTGCTTCCATGCCTGGTCATGAAATAGATGGAAGAAATGGAAGTCTGGAGGGGCCTGCCATAGTCAGGGGCTGGGCTGAGACTAGAACCCAGACTCTGCCTTGCAGGAGAGCTGCTGCACGGAGCCAGGCTCCTTCTTAGGTAGAGGGAGAGCTCTGGGTGGGCCTTTGCTGACTCTTAAGAACCAAGCTGTTCTTCAACTCGTGTGGGCAGGTGAGGGTAAGGGACAGTGGAATGAAAGCAAGATCTGAGCTGAGAGACTCAGGTGTCTCCTGGGGAGTAAGCTCAGGAGTCAGCGCCATGTCCAGCTGATCCCAACAGCATTTTCTTGAGAAGGGCTTCCTCTGCTGTGATTAGGGCTAGCATTGTTTCTGCCCTGTTCCTTTACCCATTAGCTCCAATAAATCACCCACAGTAAGGGCATGAGAACAGCCAGTGCCAGGTGAAACAAGAATCTCCCAAGAGACTGAGCTCCCCAAAGGCAAGGGCCAGTCCTCCCCACTCCTAGGGTCCTAGCCTTGTCCAGGAATTCTAGGTTCAGCATTCTCAGAGCCCTGGGAAAACCTTGGTGTCTCCACCCTGGAGAGCTGGGCCAACATGACCATACCAGCCAACACTCCTTATGGCCAAGGACAAAAATCCCTCCCTGCCCCATTCTGGTCCAGTTCCTTCCACAGTCTGCCCAAGAGCCATGTGGCACCCAGACCACAGCTTCCCACCAGCACTGCTTTAGTTTGCCTCCTTTATTTTACCAAAAATAACAATAAAGTCTTCCCTCTGTTTCACAAAAATAGATTTCACCCTTTCCCTTCCCACCCCTCCCACCCACTTCACCCCTTCTTCAATCAGCACTGGCCACAGCCTAGAATCTGTTTTCACCCACTGTCCCTGGGAGAATCTTTGACCACCCCTCCTCCCCCACCCGCCTCTTCACTCTAGAGCCTTTGGCAAAGCTGCAAGGCCAGGGCTGCTTCCCTCGGGAACTTCTCTGGAGGCAGCAACCCGAGTCCAGTGGGCTGACTCCAGGAGCTCCGTCTGCTTCCCCAGAGATCAGGCAGCTGCTGGGTCATGGAGAGGGGTATGAGTTTGGAGGTTTGGCTCAGCAGATGACTCTGACAGACCTGAGGGAAAGCAGGGCACATCAGGCTAGAAATCCTTGCTCAAAGCAGGAGTAGTTGTGTCCTGGAGAGGGACTATCAAACCCTCATTCCATGTGCTTCTCATCTCCCGGTGTAGCAATGCACAGGCCCTGGAGTGGGAGTCAGGACCATGGCTTCTTTCCCAGCTCCACAAAGCCTTGCCTTGAGGCCTAGGACAGCTTCTCCTCCTGGCTTCAGTTTCCTCTTAGGTGCATGGAGGATTCTGTGAGTGATACTAAATGCTCCTCAGGTCTTCTCTGGCTCTCCTTCTGGCCTCCCAATATGGAGGCTCTGGGAAGAGAGGGCCCTGTCCCTGCCTCAATTTCCCCACCTGTGGGTCTGCGCACAGGGCTGGGCATGAGAGTGCTAAGAAATGGAGTACTGAATGAACATCAACATCCCAGTTTCTCTGTGACAGCTGTGCTCTGAGAGCCAACCAGCTGGAATGTCTCAGGATGGCTGAAAGGAGGCAAGTACTTGAAGGATAGGGTTTCTCCAAGCCTGGAAGACTGCATTCACTAGCCCCGTGGTTCTTAATGTCCTGGGATTGTAAACAAGACTACAGAGTTTCCCAATTCAAGTTCCACTAGATCCTTGGGTTGGATTATTATCCTGTGCTGGGCTTCAGATGCTGGGAGCCAAGTGTACGGATTCTAGAAGTTAGATTGGAGTATGTGATTCCCAGTTTATGCACCAGAGGACCACTGTGGCCAGAGGGATCACCCCTTCCTCCTCAGTAGGCTGTCTATATTCAGGCCTCTCTGGAGGCAGAGGGCTAAGTGAAATGACAGCTGATGGGCATCTCTGGCTGAGCAATCAGAACCTGTGTCTGTGGTGGGCCAGCAATTTAGGTACCCAGGCAATGCTTCCCTTCCTATCTCCCCACAGTTTCCCAGAATTCATGCTGATGGAAAAAGGTAGCCTAGATGTTTCAAAAAATAGAGCTACATACAACCACATTTTGTTTTTACACACCATCAGGCACATTAAGTGGGGACAGTGAATTATCATCACTTCTACAGTGATCATAGTCTGATGGTCCCAATCCCTCCTCATCCCCTTCCTCTCTCATTCCTGTTCCTTCCATTCATCCATTTGCCTAATATTTATGAGGTCCCACTATGTGACAGGGAGAGTAGGGTCTAAGGTGGCTGGCTCTCACAGACACTCCACAGTCAAAATCACACACACACACATACACACACACAACTTCTCACTCACACACAAGCTGCCCACTCTTGTACCTTTCTTGCCATCACCTCAACCACATCCAAAGTGCCCAGTTAGACTGGGGAACCACTACAAAAAGGTCAAATGTCAGAGTGGAAAACCTCCAGCCTACCCCATCCCTAGACTTCACGTCAGAGGTTTAGCTCCTCCTTTCCTCCTGCTTGCCCACATTTAAATTCTCCCTTTCTCCACTCACAAGCAGTCAGGGGACATATTGGCAGACTCCTGAGAACCAGAAGTCCAGGGGCTTTGAGTGTGTGGAGGGGTCCCAGGGCTTTCAGGTTCCTCTGCCACCAGACTCCTGAGGGTCCCCCTTCTCAGCCACTCTATATTCAGACGATCATTTGATGAGCAACAATGTCCAGGTCTAGGCTCAGTGACAGATCCGCTCTGTCATCTCCCTCTGCAGAGACACAAGGTGGGGGTGAGGGTGGGGGTGGGGTGGGGAATGAGAGTCAGTCAGAGCTCAACCTGCCAGGCAGCCCCCACCCAAACCCTAGGGCCTGGCTGCTCTTCTGCCTGAACCCAGCCCCTTCCCTCCTCCCACCCCAATTCCAGGCTGCAGTTCTGGGTTTGTAAACTGTAACTTGAACAGATTCTCTATTAAAATACAGAGTCACTGTTCAATGAATTGTCTTCCCCTAATTTATCCACTTGGATATTGGATTTTCTTAGTACATGTAAACTTTGGATCAGAAAACTCAGAGGCTAGCGCTGGTAGGGGAGGGTAGTGGGGCTTGGCCTCACCAGTGGCTCCAGCTCCCGCTGGTCCACCAGGCTGAACTCTCGGATGAAGTAGTAGAAGTGCTTGTAGCAGGTGTTGACATGTGCCTCGGCCCCCATGCTGAGGATGCTGTCGAAGTGGTGGATGTAGACATGGACAAAGACTCGAAAGAGGCGGGTCAGGATCTTGGTGCAGACCTGCTGGAAGTTTTTGGGAAAGGGAACTCCTAGGGGGGTGGAGAGGAGCAGAAGTGAGGGGGATCAGAATCCTGGTATGAAACCCTACCCAGCCCTGCCTGCCCTCCCACATAGCTCTTGTTGAGGATGGCCTCTTCCCTAGCACACTTCCCTGTGGGAGACAGAGAGCGATTGTGATTTGCTTTCCCCCATACTTCCCTTTTTAAGAAGCACAAATCTGATTTGCTCCTGTTCTGCTGAAATGCAAATTATCTTCCACCTTTGCCCATGTCTCTGAGCAGGACTCTGCCACCTGGTTGGGGGTCACTAAACAACCCTCCTTAGAGTATGATGAAAGAAAGTAATGCCCCAACTCTCCCCAGAAACATATGCATCTGTAGGTGCTCTCACCAGACACCTTTGGATAAAATTCCAAGGGAAGCTCATCAACATCTGGGGTCCATTTTTAAAAACATGAGCCTTTAGAATTAAGTCCTAACTTCCCAGCATGGAGCCTGCTCAGGGCCTTTCAGGATCCTGACCTCCCTCTCCAACCCCACCCTGACTCCTTCCTCTTTGCATCAGCTGCCTCCCACAGTGCAGTCCCAGACCCCTAATCCTGAGAATTGCTAAAGCTTCAAGAACTAGTTCAGATTATCTCTCATTCCTTCAGATTTTCAAAAACACTTACTCTTCCATCTGTGACCCAGGCCATGTGCTGGGTCCTTCGACCCTTTTGCCTGGTGTGATAATGGGTATGATAGCCATTCTAGATATGATCAAATGGAGGTGCATAAAGTTGGAGCCACTTGCCCGAGGCCACATAACTATTAATTAGTAGTGATTGGAGTCCGGATTCAAACCCTGTCTGCACTGCACTGTAGCTTCCCTCTGAGATAAAGGCCACAAACTCTACTCAAGAAGAGCTCTAGGGGCTAAAACCGGTTTGGCTCAGAAGATAGAGCATCAGCCTGCAGACTGAAAGGTTCCAAGTTCAATTCAGGTCAAAGGCATGTACCTTGATTGTGGGCATATCCCCAGTAGGGGGTGTGCAGGAGGCAGCTGATCGATGTTTCTAACTTTCTATCCCTCTCTTTTCCTCTCTGTAAAAAATCAATAAAATATATATTTAGAAGAAGAAGAAGAAGAAGAAGAAGAAGAAGAAGAAGAAGAAGAAGAAGAAGAAGAACAACAACAACAACAACAACAACAACAACAATAACAAGAAGAACAAGAACAAGAAGAAGAAGAAGGAGAGCTCTAGGGCTTGGCAGTGTGACCCAGTGGTTGAGCATTGACCTATGAACCAAGAAGTCAAGGTTTGGTCCCCAGTCAGGGCACATGCCCAAGGTGTGGGATCAATTCCCAGGGGACATGTGGGAGGCAGCTGATCAATGATTCTCTCTCATCATTGATGATCCTATCTTTCTCTCTTTCCATTCCTCTCTAAAATTGATTAAAAATATACATTTTTTTTTTTAAATCTCTAGAACCCGTGAAAAAGAGTTTCCTATAGTCCCCATGCTCAGGGTGGAAATCTTGGTGGCTATGTGCTCTTCTCTGCCATCCCAGGGGTTAAGGCTAGAAGGGAATAAGAGCCCAGACACAGGCCTATGCTTGCTTACCACTCCATAGATCCTTCTTTCCTCACTGTTCTCAGCAAGGTTTGAGCCCTGCCTTTCTGTGAGCCCAGGTTCCTCACACTGGTCCTGCCTATCTAGACTTGGGGCCCAGGCTCCAAGAGACCTGAGCTGCAGTTCTGAACGCTCCTGATTCAGGGCACTGCCCCTCTCTTGGCCTCGGTTTCCTCCTGTGTGAAATGAAGATACCCACTGTTGGGCATGATAGTGCAGGAAATGACAGGCCACCAGCTGGGGAGGGGCCTAGGGCATTGAATTGTGACTCAGTGCTCAGCATTCAGACTTCTCTCCTCTGGACTTGATCACCCCACCCCACCCATCTCTGATTCCCAAAGCCATGAGGCCAGGTGGGACTGCTCTGATGAACACAGTGTCATGCTAACACCCCTTCTTGATGCCCTTGGGTGGGGAAGCAGGGCCAGGGTGACATCACTCATCTCCCTTACCCACCCTTATCCGCCCAGGCTGCCCAGCTGAGATAAGAAAAGTCTCCAAGGCTTGGAGCTCTACCCTTAGAGCTCTCTGAGGTGGAAGTACCGCCAGACACACTCAGTCCCCACTCCCTCCCCTTCTGGGGACCCGAGTCAGAGGGAACTCCCATGAGGCTGCAAGTCAGATCAACTCAAGGAGGGTAACCTGCTAGGAGCACCTTGAGGCACCTCTTTTGGAAGCTTCTGAGGATCATAGTGGTCTCACCAGTGTGGTTCCTGGAGGGGCACTCAAACATTAGACAAGAAGAACCTCAGCCAAAACCAGTGTGGCTCAGTGGATAGAGCATCAGCCTGTGGACTGAAAGGTCCCAGATTCGATTCTGGTCAAGGGCATGTACCTTGGTTGCGGGCACATCCCCAGTAGGGGGTGTGCAAGAGGCAGCTGATTGATGATTCTCTCTCATCGATGTATCTAACTCTCTATCCCTTTCTCTTCCTCTCTGTAAAAAATCAATAAAATATATTGAAAAAGAAGAAGAAGGAGGAGGAGGAGGAGGAGGAGGAGGAGGAGAAACCGCCACCCAAACTGGGAGTCAGGCTGTCTAAAATTGAGATGTCTGATCCTGACAAGCAGACATTGAACCTCTCAGAGCCTGTTCCTCTTTTACAAAATGGGGATGAAAATTACACACACACACACACACACACACACACACACACACACACACCACAGAATTACTACCGTGTTTCCCTGAAAATAAGACATCCTCTGAAAATAAGACCTACTTACAGGTTTCCTTCTGAGTGAAATATAAGGCATCCCCCGAAAATAAGCCCCCCCTAGGCTAAACATGAGAGATTTGGTCCACTGATTCTGAAAGAAATTGAGTCACAAGAAATTCACCAGGAAGTTCAGGAATTGGATTGTTATGATTATGTTCCAGAAGATGATGACATGATTGTCATTGAATAAATGCGTGAATTCTTGATACTGTAGGATTCACAGTTTGTCTGGTTTGTGTTGACAACTACTGTACTACCGTACCGTATTCAGGTAATAAATTTCCTTTATTTTCATTTAACAATAAATGTGTACCATATTTTTCTTCATGGAAAAATAAGACATCCCCTGAAAATAAGACCTAGCGCATCTTTGGGAGCAAAAATTAATATAAGACACTGTCTTATTTTCGGGGAAACAGGATATATCCAACTAAATGCCGCATCTGTGAAACGGGCTCCGGCGGCTCCCTCCCTCCCTGGCCAGGCCTGACCAGGCGGCACTCACCAACGCGAGTGGGAAAGACATCCTCATCATTGATGAGGCCCTCGATCCAGTCCATGAGTAAGGCCATGTAGCGCGGTGCCGGGAGCTTGGCTGGCCGCCGGTACTGCCGCTCGTCCTGCCAGCGGTACTCGTAGCGGGGCCCTCCGGCCATCACCGGGCAGCTGGTCTCGCTGCAGCGCTCAGCCATGGTGCCATAGATGAGGTTGATGCGGTTAAAGAAGTCCACCACGTGCACAGCGATCCAGTCGTCAATGTTCTCGCCCGGCGGCAGCCGCACCACACTGCGCAGGTCCAGGCCGGACTTCAGCGACGCCTGTGCCTTCTTGTACAGCTCAAAACGCTGTGTGCCCGGCTCGAAGCGCTTCCGCGGCCGGAAAGTCTTGTCCTTGGCGAACACCTGCTTTAGGCACAGGGCCATGGCCACCAGGCTGGGCTGAGGGACGGGTGTCCAGGGGAAGGACCTGCGGACGCTCTGCCAGAGCCAAGGGCATGGAAGAGCATGGTGGTCAGGTCCTTGCCAAATGTGCTTTGACTTCCCAGCACAGCATTCCCCCTCACCTCTCAGCTTCTGGCCCACCTCAGCAGCCTCTTCCGGATTCTAAATCTTCCTCACCCCCTCCGTCCAGCACCCTGCCCTGTTCCCAGGCTGCCCTCTCTCCCCTGTCAAGTGCCACAGCCCTGCCTTCTTATTCTGTTTCCTCTCCACATGCATTGCATCTCACAGACGGCTGGGCCTCGGATCCAAGCAGGTGCTCCTTACACTTGCTGTTGACCAGTAGAGAGGTGGCAGAGGCTTCCTGCTGGCCCTGGGCCAGATGACCTCGGGGGGCCCAGAGGCCACCTGGTGCAGCGTGGGAGAGCCTGGCGACATTGTGCTGGGGGCAGGAGGAACTCCTCCCTCCCTCTTTCAGCTTCCTCTGGGATATCTTATAGTTCATCCGGCTGGCTGGCAGGCTACCAGCCACCGGGAATTCCCAGAGAGCAGAAGGGACTTTTCTACCAAAAATGTCCTTTCCTTTTATTACCCTGAAAGAGGAAAAGCCCTTATATGGCCAGCTGCGTGGCCTGTGCGTGGCTGGAGGAGAGGGGGAGGTCTAAAAGCAGGTCTAGAAGTACACCACCTCCTCCAACAGCAGTTGGAGATCCTTCCCTCCAAGCCAGCCTCCCCTTGCGGAAATCCCAACAGGCCCCTCCCCTGCACCTGCTACAAAGTAGACATTCCTAGAGCACCCACTATGTGCCTGGAACTAGAAGGTAGGAATGCAGTCAGATCCACCAAGTTGGGTCCATCTAAAATTCATATGACTTTGCCTTGCCTTTTAGAACTTAAGAATTCCAGATTAAGAATAGACCTTGGGGACAGCAATCAGAGCTCCAAGCTTGCAGGCAGAAGTCCTTGGCTATAGGCCCAGCACCACCATGACTGTAGTAGGTAGGCATGGACTTGGCCCATGCAACTTCCTGGGTCACTCCGATATAGTCCATGTTACTGTGACTCTCCAGGTAGGCTCTTCCTCTGGGAGTGTATGAGGTCTTGGGAAATGCAGACTTAGGTTCCTACTGAGACAAATTTAGCCACAAACTGAGCATTGACCCTGACCCCAGACCGAGCACTAGATTTAGTATAGGCCAAGCACTGAGCTCTGGCTCAAGGGTTGATCTCGGACCTGACCTTGAGCCTGGTCAGTGAGAGTGCTGACTCCAATCCTAGACTGAGACTTGAATATAGCCACAAACAAAACCTCAGTGCTGACATTGGAGCATTTTTCCTTTCTCTAGTAATACTGGGACAGGACTGGGGAAGGAGGATGGGGGAAAAGGTGACACTGGATGTAACCAAGGGCACAGTAAATATGGGTTGGGAGAAGTGTCTTGTCTGGCAATAAGTCAAGCCAGTGGAGGAGTTCGGAAAAGGGGTTCTTTGTTGTAACCACAACAGGCAGGCAAAGAAGAGGACAGTCAAATAAAATAAGAGGAACTTGGAGAATTCATCTCTTGTCACCACCTTCTAACCCAAAGAAGTCCCAGGCATGGGGCATAAGCTTCCTGACCCAAAGCAGGTGACTTCCATGCTTCACTCATTACCTGCATTCTAAACTCTGCTTGGGCAGGTGCTTCCAAATCTCTCACACTGCAATCAAGGGGGTTCCTGGGCCAGTTTTGCCTTCGGCCAGTTCCCTTTACTGACTGTTACCAACAGACCCTCAGACTGGCATTCAACACCTTACCCTGCCTTTCCTGCCCCACTTCCCCAGCAACTACCCTGGGCTTCTTGCTGATCCCTGAATATGATCCTCAGTCCTGCCTCTGAATCTTCACACCCCGCCACCCCCACGCCCAGCCTAGGTCAGGGCCTGGCACATGGTCAATGCTCAGGCTGGGAAGAGATTAACCAAATTACTTATATACATATATCCATAACCCATGGACACAGACAATAGTGTGGTGAAGACCTGGGGCTGGGGGAAGGGATGGGCTAGAATGGGTCAATAGGGGGGACGGGGGAGAGGTACATTTGTATAACTTTCAATATTAAATATAAGTTAAAAAAAGAAAAAAAGAAAGAATCTTAGGGTTGAAATAGCCCTGAGAAATCAACTGACCCAACTCACTTCTTATACAGACGGGGAGTTTGAGGCCCAGAAAGGGGACTTGAGAGCCTTCATTCACATCGCAAGTTATAGGCAGAGGCTCTCCAAGGGCAGAACTGGGAATTGGAATAAGGTGGGGCTCAGCCCAAGTTAAGCATAAAAGACCATTTTCCTACATGGGCTGCACTAGCTGGTCCCTGGCCTGGTGGAGATCAGGGGAAAGGAGGGGAGTGGAGGGAGAGGGGAAGCATCTTCCCAGCAATTACATCAATCTCATTCCTGTTCCAACACGCTGAGCCTCCCCACTGCCCCACAGCACCTTGAGTGTCCTGACCAGGGGTCTAGAGTCTCACCTTACTGCTGTAGAATTTCAAGGCCGAGGTCTTCCCCCAGGAAAATGTAAGCCTGCCCTCTCTCCATGCCACTAGATTCTCTTCACTTCCCACTCCAATAACCTTCCTGAGTTTCTATCCCTCTCAGATCCTTTGATCCCTCCCTGAATCAAAACTATTGCCCCCTCTTAGCCCTATTTTCTAATTCTGCGACCTTTTACCCCTCAAGTGGTCAGTGAGGGCTCACAGCCTGGGTGGGCATCTGGGCTTCCCAAAGGAAGACCACAGAGGAACACTTCCTGTTTCTGACACAGCCCCCTGCCAGGGCCACACCTACCATTCCTGAGGCTGAACCTAGAACCCAGCCTAGAGCTGTGGGAAAGGCGTGTGGGGCGCTGGGGGCTCCCTGCAGGGTGGATATCCGAGAGAGAAGTCGAGGTGGGGTTCCGTGCTCTGTACAGAGTCTGCACAGACTGCAAATGCACAGCCACCCAAGCCCACCCTTTGGCCGCCGGTCTCCTGCCACCTCTCTCCCCAGCCCAACAGCCAGAAGAGCCCGGTCCTAGGACCCAGAGGGGCAGGCCAAACATTTCCGCTCCCGAAGACACGCCCCCTCAAATACTGGCACCCCCAAATCCCGACTTTCCACTTTCACTGCTCGGATCCTGAATCGAGGGACTGTGGCCAGCCTGCCTTCGGGCAGAGATCCCGACGGCGCCACGCCCGGACAGCGGGAGAAATGAAAGTGGAAACGAGGCTGGTCCGTGTCCCCGGCGGGGGCGCGCGGGCGCAGGGATCACTCACGGGTCCGCCTCGGTGGGTTAGCGTTCGTCCTCGTCCGGCCCCGGGGACAACTCCAGTGCGCTGGGCTGGTGCTCGCCCTCCGCGGTCCTCTCGCCTGTCCAACCGCCTGCCCGGCGGGGCTTCGGTCGCCCTATCGCCCCCGAGGCCACGCCAGCTCCTCCCCGGGCCTCCGGCCCGCGCACTGTGGCCGGCCCAGGGGCGGGGAAGGGGCGGGGAAGTGGGGACCCTCCCCCCGCAGTGCACGCACTCATTGTCGCCTTTCCGGAAAGTCTGTATCGCGTGCTCCCAACTTCTCCTCGTAGGACAAACTTAGTGTCTGCTTAGGAGGCAGCCTCAGCTTTCTCCGCTGTAAAATGGGGACAAGTTCAGCTTTCGCGTGAGCAGAAACAAAGGCGCTGCGAGATAGGGTAGTTTTCTCGCTCTCCCCGAATCACGTGCGTTTCACTTGTGCCTGAACTCATAAGGGATCAGTTCTATCCTATACACTTCCACACCCTCAGCTCTTTGTATATTGCCTGGCACACAGCAGGCACATAATTCCCATTGAATGAATGAATGAATGAATGAATGAATGCCTCAGGACTCATGAATGAGTCCCTCACTGAAAGGACTTGCCCTGAAGATGCTCAGATCACAGATTTTCACCTCTCCCCCCCTCTATCCCCCTCCCCCACCACCACCAGGGCTGGGGTTCTTGCTCAGACTGGGCTGGTTCTCCTCACTCCTCACCTGAAATCACTCCATTTCCCACTGCCAGACATTTGTTCTAGCTGTTCCCATTTGAATGTCTTATTTTACTCCTTCCTTTCAACCAAATCCAAACCCTTCAGACTTGACTGTTTTTCCTACTTTTCTTCCTGGGTTCCCTGAGGGCAGACAGCTATCCCACACCAGCATCCAATCACAAGTGGGCTCTGGGATGAGGGACCAGGTGGCTGTCTTGGGATAGCAGGGAAGGTTGGAGGCCTAGAATGGGAGGGCCAAGGCAGAAAGATAGGCTACAGAAGGCTTGCCCTGGGGAGTTGGGGGGCGGGGCGGGTTGAGCGGGTAAGAGCAGGGGAGAGCTGGTGGTGGGACGAAGCATATACTGTGGCACAGATCCTTTCTTGGCTCTCCTGTGTCTGGATCTTCTGCTTGCTCCATGGATGGCATGAGAACACACTGGATCATGAGGAATCCCAGTTCATAGAACTGAAGATTCTTTCTTTTGTTGAGCACCTACTTTTGTCCCAGCCAAAAGTCATTTGCGATATCTCTGGCTAGGGTTTCCTAGGTCCTTAACTCTATCTCAAACCCCTACAAATATTTGCATGCTCTAAGTTTATGCAGAAGAGATTAAAATCTAGTCCTTGTTCGATGCCCCCTGTATTAAGCGTGACTGTGCTGAGAGTAAGGCATCAGGTAAGGAAGCTGCTCCAGTTCCTAACCTCAGCTGACAACAGGCCAGCAAGGGGTCAACACACAGAAATCACACAAGGTCAGAGCTCCATCATCCAGAAGTGTGAGCATGGTTACAGACTGATGGGGAGCACTTTCTGAGAGTGAGTTAACTGCAGGACACACATGGAACACCCTAACTGGGCATTTTGAGGAGAGTTTAAAGAAGGCACTAGAGATGTAGTCAGGGTACAGGGAAACCACATGGATAGTGTATCACCAAAGGGCTAGCAAGAGCAGCCTTTTGATGTCCA